ACTCATTCTGATGCCACAAGTAAAAAAAAAGACAATAATCCTATAATACCATCAGGAAATAAAGAAGAGTCTAGCAATCCAAATCCAAACTTTATTGATAGCTATACTAAAAAACCACGAYTAAAATATCATCGGAAACCTCATAGGACTAATTCTGATACCACAAATAAAAAAAATGAYAATGATACTGTAATACCATCAGCAAATAAAGAAGACTCTAGCAATCCAAATCCAAACTTTATTGGTAGCTATACTAAGAAACCACGACTAAAACCTCATCGGCATCGTCCGCATCCTGATGAATCACGTAGGGAAAGTGAAAAAAATAACAAAGTTTACAACACTAACAATACTGATAATGATAGTCAATCTTCTCTTAACACGACTGATACACCGAATAAACAAAGTGTCAATAATTCTAATAAAACACTAATCAACGTTAAAAGCAACAGAGATGACAATGACAGTGAAGAAAAATTACCATATGATCGACCACGACATCCTTACCATMCGCCCGACAAATCAAGTGAGGAAAATGATGACAATGGCAAAGCAGGTTTTTTCAGACCCGGGACAACTTTTTTGAACAATACAGYAGCACCACCTTCGGCTAATGTAGTTATTAACTCTAGAAAAAATGAAAAAGAAACTGCAAATGTAAGAGTGKCAAAATCGGAAAAAGAAAACTTAAAACAGAAACAGAAAACAGAAACTTTAAGGTTGGTATATTAATTGCACTAAATTTGAATAATTTTTTAAAATTTTTGGCAGGAGTTTATCTCCGAGAGAAGATAYGGGCATCATTTTTGTAGAGTTTCATAAGAAAAAAGACCAAGAATCGCTGGTGTACAGTGCTAAAGTCGATCTGAATAAACACAGTCTTAACGACTACGTCCCAAATACAAGATTTGAAGAAATTAAAATTACTTCAGGGTTTGTTGATTGGTTATTAAACAAACACATTGGACCTATTCACCGCATAAGACCATACAAACTTACTTTTCGAAACCAAGTATCTGGTTTAGGAAAAAACCTTTTAGCAAGCACTTCCAATATGGAGGAATTTCAAATATCAGTTGGAACATTGTCAATAATCAATGATGATGTTTTTAGCGGCGGAAAAGTGAAATACCTTAATCTGAGAGATAACAGAATTTTTACAATTGACTCTCATGCGTTTGACAATATGAAAGAGTTGAAGAAAATTTCTCTCATCAATAACCAGCTGAAAGAATACAACCCGGATTGGTTTTATAATTGTCCCAAACTGGAAACGATTCTCTTAAGTCACAATGAAATAAAAATTTTGCCACCATATGCTTTCAAAAATTTAAATCTTAATCTGCCTTTTAGAATATTTTTRGATTACAACGACATCGTCACTATTAGTGACAGAACATTCGTCCAAAATCCTGCAGCAAGCCTTAGTCCTCAATATTTCAACGATCTGCGTAAAAATGGAATGAGAATTCACTTGAAAGGCAAYCGTTTGAAATGTSTGACTGAAGATKTATCAAAAACTTTTGTCGCCAGGGTGATTACYATGAARCAAAATCCYTTAACGTGTCAATGTCAGAAGAAAATTCTTGAGTGGAAGAAAAAGCATCCCAAAACTAGAATTTATCTCGATTACAGTAGCAACTGTGTCTATACAGAAGTATAATATTTATGTAGTTTTCTTCTTATTAATAAATGTAAAATAAAAAATTTTATACGATGTTGTCGTTAATTTTTCAATTTTCTTTAAAAAAACTCAGAATCAAGTCAAACTTTTAATAAGTCATAATTTATAATTTTTTGCAGCCAAGTTATTATATTATGGAAGTTGTACAAGAATTAAAATAACGATAAACACACTTGATTTATGCTTTCCGACTTTTAAAACCCACTTAATCCCTCCCTAAAAATTTTAAATCTACTAAAAAAATTTTTATGTAAGCTCTGTTTCTGGAATTGTAATCATGAGTCGTTGTTTTATTAAATCTAATTTAAAATTTATTTAGATTTTTTTATTTACTAGTGAATCTTTAAAAATTAAAAAAATTTTTTTTTTGGTTAGTAAATTTTTCAAGTGATGATTTATTATACATTTTTTATTTCAGAAGATATTCTTAAAAATCATTAAATTTATTTCTAATTGTGCATATTTAATAGGTACGCAACCAATAAAAAACAAGTACTTATTTTACTATAAACGATCTCTTTTATACAATTTATGAGCCATGAAATAATTAGCGGTTTATGATGTAGTTATAAAAACTTATGCAATATTCATTTTGTTGTCGTTTAAGCAAAAAATGAAGTTTTTGTGGGTAAGTTTTACATCCGTTTTTTTTAAAATTTATATTGTAAAAATTTTAGATATTTTTCGCAATTATTGGTTTAGCAAAAACTTCTCTTTTTTCGGAATATGTTAAGATGTATGAAGATAAAAAATCTCCTAATATTTTTTTAAAATTTGTTGGAAAAGGTGGTGAGGCTAACATTGATGTCAAGAATCCAGGTTTTAGACAAGTTTACCATAAAGTTGTGAAAAAATGGAACCCCGATTCAAAAACAAATACGTTTTTATCGACATTTAAGTCAAACAATGGGATTTAATCTTTTTTTGTTAKTGACCCTTTTAAATTTTACGACATAAACTAAATATTGTAAATAGGCTTAAGTGTTTTGATTTGAAATTGGCTTTAGCAAGAATTAAAAAAAAAACACTAATGTAAACATGTAAACATATATTTTTTAAAGAAAATTACATTTTATAATACATAAAGTGTAGTGTTCAAACAAAGAATAATAAATAAATTAGTCGAAAATTAATATAAATCAGAGAATGTGGCAAAAACTYTCACAAGAAACTAATTATCAAGCACCTAAATTAAGAAATACCCTTCAGTGAGAAGCTAGTGGTCCCAACTCTTCAAAAAATTGTCATAATTTCTGCCACAAGTCACGTATATCAGGTACCTACTCAATAACATTAATAACACCTAACAAGAACGACATAATTCGGTTTATCTTTTCCCCTAGAAAAATATGAATTCTTTTTCATAAAAACTCCAGCTTTACATCTAACACAAGCCTTAGCTTAGTCTTATAATTAAAAACATAATTGGGAACAAATTTAATTAACAACAGTGCAGTTAATTAATCCAAACTAGCCTAAGTGCTGCTGTTTTTATTGTTGAAGCTGACCACAGATCGCAACTTCTTTCTGATTTTGGGAGAAGTCCATTTGCTTGCGTGTCCCATAATGGGTTTAAGATCATTYGGGGAAACACCTTCATCTACATCATCGGCTTCTGTCTTAATTTCCATTTTTTGAACAATTAGCCTCAAAAACTGCTGTTGTGTTTCTAAAGCTGTGGTTATTTCCCTCAACTTTCTCTTAGTYTTGTCGAGTTCGTTAACAACGTAATCCTCAACACCCTCCATTGCCATATCCAAACCTTAAAAAATTAAATTAGCACAATTTCGCAACTGGGCTAACATGAAGAAATAAGAAATTGCAGAATAAGTGTGAAGAAAATAGACAAAAGTGAAGAATAAACAATAACATGCCCTACCATGATGTCGCCATCTTGCTTTGATCTTGTGCTTGTGGTGACTCCCTGTAAGAGAAACATGCTACAACTCGACTTTTGTGCAATTATTTCAACCTCTTGCAAGCTTTATTAAGCTCGTCAGAAATGGTATAAGCATCAAAGTGACAATAGAATGTAATAAAGCATGCAATATATACAAAATCAACTAGAAATGAACGTACCCTCGTCGGAAAAAGGGTTACCAAACCATTTTCGCAAGATGGAGTCGAAGAAACCTAACTTGCATTTGGTGTCGTTTGGATATTCGATCAATTCGCATTTGTCGACCCTTTCAAGGAGCATTTTGGGGAGTTTGCGCTCCAATTCGGTGTGCAATACCACCTGAAATAGCCCCAAGTAGAAATGTACCACATTTTTTTTGAAAAAATTTAGTATGTACCTGCATTGCTAGTCGTTTCAACTGAGCATTTCTCCTGACTGATTCTATGTCACCAACAGCCAAACCAATGAGCAAATTCATCAAAAGAATGGGCATTAGTACCATAAATAGCCCTAAAATGAAAAATGCAGGGATGGGGAAGGGCAAGAATGACTTTTCATCTTCCGTGGTCAAGTAATACGGTTTGACATAAGTCCCCAAAAAGTCAATTTCGCCCAACATCATTGAAAATGTTCGTACTAGACTCATTGGTATTGTTTTGAAGCTAAGATGGTCACCCTAAATAAATTATTTATCAAAAATGATACTATTCAGTACTGAAAGTACTCACCCTTGATAACAAAATGTAAAACGCAAGACCAAATGCTATAATCAGTATAGAAAACACGAGAAGTACTTTTATAAGTGTTTGTAATATCTCCAAAAACATAACTACGTAAATGCCAACTTGGTCAAAGCGTTGTAAAAGGAGAAGGAGGTTAAACCAGCTCAAGAAAACAGTGACTGAAGCACAGGAAAATTGAAGCTCGTACATCGTGCTCCAAAATATTGGAAAAACCATTACGACTGCACAAGTATATAGTACCCAAGTCACCAAGTTGTTGGGATCAAGAAAATACATAAATTTTTGTTGGTACACCTGCACCATCTCTCTTATAGTGTTTAAAATGACATAAGTGATTATAGCCAGAGCACTCATATACATCATTGGGGTTATTTTGACGTTGAGGATATTGGCTTTGCTAAAATTGACGTATTCCTGAAAAAAAAAAATTAAGTAGTGATTGGTACTCTTGACGATTATTTACATCATGTGTTAAATTTGTGGTATTGTAAGTGACGATGTTTTCCTCGTGTCTCATAATTTCGTAGGCAAAACAAGTCACAAATGTGAGGAAAATACTGTAGAATAGAACGTTGGTGAGATGGAAGTACTTCCCGTACGAATTCCATTTCATTTGTAGATACTTTTGGCTTAATGGGTGTGCTAGTAGTTCTACTCTACCGTGCGAAACCATGGCCTAAAACCCATTGGTCAAAATTTTTAGTACTTATGTAGTACTATCATACGTTTAAAGCGGGTAAAGGGATTGGTTTCGAAATGGTTAAAGCGTCTCCCGTCTTGTGGTCCATATCTGCGTAAAACTGTGCACATTGCAAGGCCGAAAAATTGTACTTTATCTGTAAAAAACTCGTTAGAAAAGTTACAAAACCTGATATGGACTAACATAAAACGACTTTGAATCCTTCTTGCAGTTGGCCTTAGTGATACATTTATCTTGGACGGCCTCAAACACCCTTGGCATTGAYGCAATTAGAGCAAGTGTGACATAGGGGTGTTTATTGGACTTCAAGGCCATAACTTCCTCCGCCCGGTCCTCATGAGTGACCATAGCTAACGCAGCTTCTGGAAACTTGTAATAGATGGCGTAGTCAATAGCACTCATCTCCATTTGGTTGTACAAAAGTTTGCAATTCATGGAGAGGAGGAGGGCTATAGCGTTTGGTTTATTCTCCATCGTGGCTAAATGCAACGCAGTGTTGCCGTCTTTGTCCGTCTGGTCAAGGAGATGGGAGTGGACCGAGAGGAGGAGTTCTATGGTTTGGGTGTAGCCATTCATGGCTGCGAGATGRAGGGGATTACGGCCGTTGTGGTCGCGGTGGAGGAGAGCACCACGGTTGAGGAGGAGTTGGACTACGCGGGTGTGGCCTTGCTTGGAGGCGATGTGGAGGGGGGTGAGGCCTTCACCGTCGCTTTCGTTAATAATAAAAGTGCCCTTTTCCGAGTCGAGGAGTTGACGAACTGTGTTGTAACGGCCATATCTGAGTTTAAAATTTAATAAAGAGAAATTCACGTTAAAAGCACAGTTTACCTAGCTGCGAAATGTAGAGGACTTTCGTTGTTATTGTTCTTGAGGTTGATGGTGGCTCCTAATCGTATCAAATTCTCTAAACTTCTGATATGACCTTCTCTACTAGCGTAATGGAGAGGCGAACATCCGGTAATATCTTTTTCGTTGAGCAATTGGAGGAGGCTTGTCTGGGATTTGGCCTTGCAAAAATATACAAAAAATATGTAAACAAATCTAACTTTATTTTATTCAAAAAAAAAAAACCGATTTTTAATTCTAAACTTAACACCTACTCCTTTCCATTCTTTTTATTTTTGAACTTTAAATGACTTTGTTTCTAAAACGAAAACTGGTATAAGAAAAAATTTGTTAAACTTAATAGTTTTAAACTAAATCTTAAATATAAGAAATTATTACAAGATAATAAAAAAAACGTGTGTTGTTACCTGTCATCGACAGTCCATAAATTTTTACAAAATGGAGTTCTTTTGTTGAAGTAACTCGTACTTATAATAGAACGTGTTTTAAGTTTCSTCGACATTTGAACAAACTTTTGAAATGTTTAGACTTTTGAGAAAAAATTAAAGTCATTAAAGTCAGAAAATCAATATTTTTCTACAAAAATACTTTACTTACGTCTTTTGGTTGGAGTTATAAAATGTTTAAAACAASCAACATTTCTGAATAAATAATTGAGTTATTCCACCATAAACAGATAAGTAATATAGATAGATATACAGGGTGAATATAAAGTATGGAACCAAGCGGTTTTATTTTTAATCATTTGCCTCCGGAAAATAATAATTAATATAAACTAAAGTAATATAAAAAATGTGATTGTATTTTCAGAACGAAATGTTGTTTTGTTATTGAGTTATGCGATTTTTTTTGTCAAAATTGAAATTTAGGGAAAAATTTTTTTGAAAAAATTAAAAATAAAGCAGATAATTGTAATCCTTAGTCTATAGCTTTTATGAGAAAAATGATTTTATAGTGGGTTGCCATTTAAAAAAAATATTTTTTTTGTAGAACTCAAAAATAACAGGAAATTTCGAAAAATTTTATTCTTGTTACATCATCACATTTTTAGAGTACTTTATCACTCATCAATTAGTTTTTTCAAAAAATAAATARTTTAAGCAAAAAACGTTTGGTTCCATACTTTTTATTCACCTGGTATAATATAAATGTATAGTAAATAATATTGGAAATGACCTTCAAAAAACGCATAAAAATATTTGAACTTCTGGTTATCAGCTTAATTGCGCCATATTTTGATTGTATTGCTTAATATTACGCAATTTTATCCAAAGTATAAAAAAGCTGATTAGTCAACAATTCGCATCAAGTGTAACATTGAGATAAAACACATTATTCCAACGCTGCACTTTTTAATTTCCCCAACATTTACTCTTATGACGAATAAATCCGCTCTTTTGTCACAAAAATCACGTTTTATCCCTCGTGAAATTTATATAACATTTATGAAACTGCCTCACCGTTACCTTACTAACTTCCGACGCAAATTGTTCTAACCGCCCTCCATTCATCACCACCAGATGTAAAACATTTCGTCTATTAACATCTTTAACGTTAATATCAGCCCCTAGTCTAATTAGGACATGGACTGTCCTCCAACCCCCTCTTAGAGCAGCTAAGAGAAGAGGCGACCGCTTCTCTTTATCCATGGGGTTGATATCAGCCCCTTCGTTGATTAAAAATTCGACAATTTCGGGGTGGTCAAACATGGCAGCACAGTGTAGTGGAGTCATCTAGAACATTTTCAACCAAAAAACAACCATTTTTATACCACACGTTTAATTTCCGTTAAAATAATACCAAAAATCAACTTTTCTAAAAATTCACCTTCTGGACGTCACACGATGCTAAACAGGGCAATTTCTCCTCCGGTTGCATCTTGAACATGAGTTTGACGATGTCGGTAGCTCCCTGAGCACATGCTAAGTGGACAGGGGTCGAAAGGTCGTGCTGTTGAGTGCTTATCTTAGCCCCCGATCGCAAACACAATTCCACTGCTTTAATATCGCCCCCATGAACGGCCGAGTGTAAAGGAACGTTGCCTTCCGAGTCGTAGAACGAAATCATTTCTTCACGCGTACATCCGCGTGATTCTCCCCACTGAAGGAAAATTTCGAGGGTTTTGGAAGAGGCGTTTTTGGCGGCTTCGTGGATGGGGTAGTAACCGTTGTTGCAGGGGCGRCGAGGGCAAGCGTCGAAAACGGAGATCTGAAACGAAGTTTATTTAAGAGRAATAAAATTAGCAATTTCAAATCAGAAATCGTGGTGAAAGGTGGGATTGCATGCGACACAGGACTAAATAAAACAGTTTGGTAGATACATATGAGAAAATGTTTTAAGGTTTGGTTTTGGTAAATCAAAATAAAAAAWAMAAAATAGKTTTTTTTACTGATTACCTGAAACAATTTAACTAAAGAAGAAGAAACTATAAGTGACGCAATAATTACCATTGGTTTAGTTGTGTTAACGACTATTTCTCACTAAAACAACATGGAAATAATTAAAAAAGGTCAATGACAAAGCACTGTATTACAAGTTGTAATAGTAAAACAAAAATAGAAAATAATAATAAAAATAGTGAGAAAACATAAGTCAATGAGTTTGTGGAAAAGAGGAAGTTTTTTTGCAGGAAAGTTTTGGTAGTGAGAAAATATAGAACAATCACAATTTTAAAATTAAGAACTATAAGAATTATGCATAATAAATGCATACACCTACATAAGAAGAACAGTTTTTCTTTGGAACAAAAATTATAAAAAAAAAGAATAAAAAACCAAAAATTATTTTAAAAAAACACTAAATATTTTCACTTCAAAACAAAAAACATGAAGAAGACCTCTAAAATAACGTAAATATATGATTGTGAAGATCTTATAACCATTTTAAAATTGCTGCTTAAGCTTCTAGATTAAAATTGTTTAGGGTTATAAAATCTAAAATCTGATAAAAGAAATGTGTTTTTTAATTATACAGGCTGTATTATAAAAAACGCCCCAAGCCACAACTCCATTATTTTTAAAGATATGACAATCTTCTTGAAACAAAATTAAACAGTTTCTTGTCATCTATTGTTTGGCATAGATGCTCAATCAATGCTGCTTCCTGTTTCACCGGAAGTGACATTAATTTTGGTTCTTTAAATGTAACACCCTGTATTTTTTATTATTTTTAGATTCTTCATAAAATTGTCTTTCAACAAGCTCACTTACGATTATTTATTTATTTAATTTTTGATTTTAGGCAATTTGAAAATTAAAATAAATAAAATAAGCGGTGAAAAAAATAGCCCATTTTTCATTCATTTTATCTAAGACAAGCAAACGAGTAATAACAAAAAACTGTTCAACTTTGAGCAAAAAAGTATCATAACGTCTTTAAATGTAATAAAAATGTAGCTTGGGGCGTCTTTTATATTACAGCCTGTATAAAGATAAAAAAACAAAGATTTGAAATNGAAGTGACATTAATTTTGGTTCTTTAAATGTAACACCCTGTATTTTTTATTATTTTTAGATTCTTCATAAAATTGTCTTTCAACAAGCTCTTTTACGATTATTTATTTATTTAATTTTTGATTTTAAGCAATTTGAAAATTAAAATAAATCAAATAAACGGTGAAAAAAATAGCCCATTTTTATTCATTTTATCTAAGACAAGCAAACAAGTAATAACAAAAAACTGTTCAACTTTGAGCAAAAAAGTATCATAACGTCTTTAAAAGTAATAAAATTGTAGCTTGGGGCGTCTTTTATATTACAGCCTGTATAAAGATAAAAAAAACAAAGATTTGAAATAAAACTTTATTTAACGTCTGAAAAGAATAATAAAGAAATTATTATTTAAAAAAAAATAACTTCTTGATCCTTGAAATTCTTAATATCTTCAAAACTCGAAAACGAAAGCTGACAAATTTTCAAAATTAAATATTGTTTCTACATGATTTTTCTTCAAGCACAAGAAGTATTAGAATATAATTATTATATTTGAATATATTTCTAAAAAAAACTCACATCTGGAGAATATGAATGTGAATTAAACATGTTATTTGTTTGTATTTTAAGATTTTGAAATGAAAGAAGATAACTTATTTGATTCACATTCATATTCTCCAGATGTGAATCAAACATGTTATTTGTTTGTATTTTAAGATTTTGAAATGAAAGAAGATAACTTAAAATTTAAGATTGATTCCTGAAATTTAAAGTTTTGTATCAAGATGAAATCCTAAATACGCTCTAATCCTCACATTTCAAAGCCTTGAAAMTCAGATAAAGCAAAATACAGCAGCTGTGTCGTCCATAAATGTGCAAACAACACGAACAAAATCTTGCAATTAGAAATAAAGTAAACAAGTCGGCAGGACTGAAAAAACACGTAATAAATAACTGATTGAAGATACGAGTAGAAAGCAAATGAAACGTTTTACAAAAAATGAAARTTATTCAGAGAATAATTTGTTTGTGGCGATTTTAATTAATCCTTTCATCAGTCACGAAACTCACCTATCTTACCCAATCTCTAATTGCACTAATTAAAAACAAACTSAAACCCTCACCAATATCCTGGCACACTCCTCGTGGTCGTAAATGGCGGCAATGTGCAGGGCAGTCCTGCCATGTTCCCCACCTTGCAGTATATCAATTTTGTCCTTATGCTTGCCCATCACTTCYAAGACGGACACTTTGTTAAGCTCGGTGACCAAATGGATGGCGGCTTGTTTCTTCTCGTTTAATATATTCGTCTTTACGCCCCTGTAAAAGCCAAAYYGTGCTTAGCCAAGGGTTACTACCCCAATATCGTGTCGCTTAATTTATCCGATATCTAAATTAAYAATTYGTAATAAGAAGATTTTATCGAGAAAAGTTCTATCGCGTGTTTTTACACTAGAATTAATTTMATTTTTTTGGGAGACTAATTTTTCTTTAATTATGAAAGTTTGACAAAAGCGAGTAATGCAGCAATTTGGTAGTTGCTGCAAAATTTAATTACTCCTGTTTGTAATGCARAGCGGGACTTGACAGAATCAACACTGTTACACCAAATGTGATTGTGGAGGGCGAGGGACTAAGAAACGAAATGTTGTGTAAAAAATAGTAAAAAAGTCGATGCAAAAAATTGCCAATTTATCTCCAAACTTTAGCAGCAACGCCAAGGTTTTTCTCACTTCTAGTTTGWAGTTAAGTTAAAAAATTGTATTTTTTTACTTTTCCTTTACTTKAATTGTTTAATTCACTTGTCTAAATGAATTTAAGTAAATAAATTTCAGACACTTTAAGCTTTAAATATGTTTTTGGAACAATGTATTCTTAGCTTGCTAACTAGATAAAAGACTGAGTTTCGAAGGCAAAAAGTTTTCAATTAAGTCCCCAAGTTCCAAATATAAATTCAATAAGTCGCTACAAGATTTCCTACAGASAGCAGCTATATTTATATTTGTTGCCAACGGCTTTCATTCAATAACTTTTACATTTTTRATGAAGTGATCGTGTCTTGAGTTTATATCCTCTTAACTGAAASACAATTTCGCAGTACTTAAATACACTCGCACATATTATAAGATCAACAAAACAAATATTTAATATTTGCCTATAATTTTATTAAATTAAACATTTGTTTTTTAATAAACTTGCATTTCGTCCTTCACATCCTCTTAAAACTTTTTTTGCCTGTATTTCATTTGTAAATAGTTTAAAATCAATAATAAATAAAAAATAAAATCATTAGTTTAGACAAAAAACGCATTGTTTTATATTTTTAATTTTGCTATGAAAATATTTAACATTTTTTACTTATACCTGTATAAAGTAGATTCAATTAATTTAAACAATGACAAATACTAAATAAACATACAGTTTTTTTAATGTATAAATAAATTAACATTTTGGTTAAATAATATTCATATTTTGTATTGCAATTATAAATATTAAAGTTTAATATTTTTTATTATGTTAAAGAAATAAAGTTTTAATATGTTCGGTAACAGTAGTGCTGAAACGCTTTATCGGGTTATTTCTGTGGTTTGCTCAAATACTGGTCACAGTTGAAGCTGCTTTTTGAATGTGGACTGCAACTTTACATTTAGCAATTTAGTAAAAACTGTTTTATTTTTTTTTTTTAATAATTTTTTGTTAATAAACAGAAAACTTTTCATAAACTTTCATATTTGAAAAAATTTCTTGGAACAAGTTTCATTAAGAGAGAATAATGAAAGAATTTGAATTCTACCAMAATAACTTAGCTAATTGTCAGCGATTGAGTAATTTAGTTGTTAGTTAGCGGCAGAATTARCAATGTCGAACTCTAAGCTTGATAATCTCACTAATTAAGTAACAGCTCAATATTAATCCGTACAGAAATAACGCTGAACATGATTATAGGCAGAAAAAATTAAAACTACTCTAAAYTTTTAATAACAAAAGACATTTTTTTTAAATTTTTAAATATTCAGAAAGTCAGTTCTGTTTATTTATCAACTAGACAATAAAACTGTAATAAATCTAAAGCGCTGCTTTGAGGCAACAAATATGACCAAATTTTATGCAAATCACATCAGTTCCACCAGAAATGTGCTTTTAAAAGCCTTTGAAAATGTAATAAATGTCCTTACACTAGCTCTAATGTKTTCCTGCGCACCCTGAATTTTTACAAGGAATGTTGGAAAACCGACTTTACGAAGATATATGCTACCAAAAACTAACTAAAATGTATTTTCAACGCTCTTGGATAACTTTGTATGCATGAGAATAAAAAAATACTCACTTTTAAACTGCTGCAATGCATTATTTACACCGCTAGAATTTGAAAATATTCTTAAAAACACTTGGAGTAAAAAATGGTGGATGCGCCGGGTCAATATTATTATTTTTTTTGTAAAAGCAAAAAAATTTTAAATTATTTAATCAAATTTTTGAGTTAAAATACTAAAACATAATGTACCCATTCAAATTAAATTTCTGTAAAATTCAGGGATAGGTATCATATTATAAAGTTGCGTTGAAAGGATGTTAAATGTTTTAACGTCGTATGAAACAATATCTGTCAGCTAGAATTTACAAACAAGCTACAAAACAATTTGTAAATTTTCTAATTCCAGAGCATTTTCAGTACATTTTCTCTTTTTTTTTCAATTTTTCAACCACAGTGACTGCTTGAACTCCCACCTTCTTTCTCAATTAAACTAACTCGAGCAAGTAATTTTACTCAACTTTCCTCCAAGCACAATTTCTTGGACAACTTCCAACACTTTTCTCGAAAAATGCGTCAAACTAAAAACAAAATAAATGCTGCTGTCTGATTTCATACTCGAGATACAATAAATTTTCAGACGGGCCGTGAATTTTCATTACCGGTCTAAACTTTTACGCTTTAACTGAAACTGGAATTATCAATTTACACCATTCAAAAGTCGGAAACTCAACACAAAAATAATAATTAAAACTGTGGATCTGAAAGGCTGRATTTTGTAATTGGTTCGTTTCCGGATTTTATTTCAAAAACTAATTAAATATTTGGAATWTTTGTAAGCTCCTCAATTAAGTAAATAATCTCATCAGCAAATTTTCCACTTTTAACAYTATCAAATAACCGTCAAAAACACTTACGCTTGGAGGAGAAAATCCACCGCATCGAGCGATTCGTGTTCCACAGCGACATGAAGAGGCGTATTTCCGGCATTATCCTGATTATTAAGATCTGAAAATTGAATTTCAGACACGTCTCAATAATTTCATAAATCCTTACCTCCTCCTTGTGACAAGATAAATTGTAAAATGTTAATTCTGTTCTTTGCTGCTGCTTGATGAGCCGCAGTCCTCCCTCTACTATCCTTAATACTTAGTCTTGTCGGATCAGCGAAATACAGTCTTTGGAATGTCTCCAAGTTGCCGCATTCTGCCACCTGAAATTTTTTCACAAAGTCGATGAAGAGAATATTTTTACATTTCTATGGTTGTTTGAGCGAACAAAAGATTATTTCTGGATTCAAGGTGAAGGGCAGACGCCATTTAGAATTTCAGTCAAGTTTCAGGACTGTTTGTTTTTTCAGAGATGGTGTTTATTGAAGATGATTAGCTTTATCAAATTTGCATATTTATGGACACGGAATTAATAATTTGTGTTGGCGTCATCGTCACTGAAATCCATTCAAGGTCGCAAATTCTGTTTATTTATTTTGCAAGTTCTTATTTCGAGACTAATTATGATTCTGAACTGTTGAAAGTTCCTGAAACTGAATTTCAAACTGAAAACCCGTTAAATCACCCAACTTATSAACAACTTTGATCTTATAATCTAACCCACAGCTCTTAAGATAGTTGCTTAACTGCGAATAGAGTCATTTGAGAGCATAGAGCTTTGATGAAACGAATATAAATACATGACAAGTTTTGWCGTAATAAAAATTGATATTAAAATAATTTAATAAAAAAAAATAGAATAGAARAATATTTCTTAAGAGGCAATAAGTATGTAATAAAAAAAGATAATAAAAAGATCGTAAAAGTTTATGATAAAAATCTTGTGGCCTTTCTCAGGTTTGTTTAAAAATAAAAAATCTTTTTTGTTTTTTTTTATATAAATTCTTACCACTAATTAATAAASAAAAATTCAAGCAAATATTTAATTACAAAAACTGTCGTTTTTATTTTAGAAACTCAAAGCTCCTTTTACTCACTGACTCCTCTTCATTCAGTATTCTCTTGCAGTGTTCGTTTATTCTTTGTCTTAGTTTTTTTCATGAAAGCGATAATTAATATAGAAACAAAACACAGACAATAAAATCAAAAATTGTATATTTTTAATTAAAAAAAAGTTTAGAAAAACAGCTGAAAATGCTGTTAAACGCGAATCTTATTACAACTTTTCTGACACGATAGGAAATATAAAAACCAAAGTTATCATTTCCAGATTTCCAGAATTTCAGACACAATATTGACATTATCGATAATAGAGAACAACTTTCAAAATTAATAAACTGTTTCAAGTTTTAATTTTGTAAAATTTCGGACAAAATAATGATTTTACACCTCTGAATAGCTAATTTCAGAGAGATAATTAATTTACGTACTTCTAACTTTCAATAAACCAATTTCTTAAATTAAATAACAGCTCCAGTTAATGGTTTAACAGCTAACGAGATTGTTGGACGTAATTATATCAAAACTTTTGAAGCAACATWAAAAAAAAATACACGTAGTAAGGTTTGAAAAAATCGTGAGAATAAAGATTGTAAATTAAATAAAAATCTATTACTGAAAAAAATGCAAAAAATTGTTCAAGTAACTTAAGAAAAAATTTCTTCAACTAATTGAAATGCTTTTAAATAAAAAAATTGTACTCTTCTCGTTTAAAACAAATTACTTTTTTTAATAAAAATAAAATTAAAAATCCCGTAAAGTAAAAAACTGCTTTGACTAAAATCGAAGTTCCTCTATTTAAATTAATTTTGCTAACTAACAAGAAAATTTTATTATGTGTGGTTTTTGGTGATGTGCGACCACAACTCCCATAATGGAAATTCCCCTGCAAGGGCAAAATTAATTTTCATTGTTGATAGAATCACTTTCAATTATAATTATAGTTAATAAAATACACATTTTTTACTTATCTATTAATTGATACATGAAATTTTGTTCATAAAATGTTTTCTTTTTTTAAATTCATTGATTTATTATTTTACAAAAAAAAATTGATTTTTTTGTTTCTTAACAAATAGACAGCTTTTTAAAGCTCTTAAATTTTTTTCTTAAATTTACATTAACACTAAACGATAAATGAATCACTGTATGTTAACTGATTCATTTTATGATTTCTATCTGAATCTAGATCCATTTTCGACACTTTTACGTAAATTAATATCTAAAATTTATACCTAACTTTTATCAGTTTCAGTTTCTAAAAACGCTTTGTTTATTATTTCCAAAAAAAGATTTTACACAAAATTTTGTTTTGTAACTTTAACAAATAGATTAAGCTTTTTGAAATCTTTAAAAATATTAAAATCTGTTCTAATTTATTAAAAATAACCAACACTGAACGATACATGGATCACTGCACGCTTTTTTTGCCCTATATTTGACTGATCCCAATTTCAAACTTGACGATGATGAATTGTAGTTATAACCAATTTTTTCAAATTGATTGCTCCTTGTGGAACTTATTACAATCACTCATACCAAAAACATTTTCATTTAGTCGTAAAAGGATGCTGTAATTTACATTAAAACACCATCACTTAAAACAAACGACTCGGTTAATCAGTAATCTATTCTCGTAGTAAATTCTAGAGCTGTGCTATTCAACATATAATCATTTCGATTCAACAAGTAGCATTTATCATTCTGATTACAGAGTTAGACAAATGTACTGCGTTTTGTTAACTGACGCAATTCTAACAATTTAAATCAACAACTAAAACAAAAATTCAATTTCTACATAAACAAATCGAAATATTAATTATATGGGATCTCTCCTGTTTCCTGAACTTATGACGCGTTCTCGACTGTTATATGTGTATTACATTACGTAAGAAACAACTCAATTTATTTACCCAATGAAATGACATCGTTGTTCTAAATATATTTGTATTAGGAGCTTATTTCTTTGAAAATTCAATCACCAACTTGAAAAAGATTCCTTTTTCGATTCGATATAAATCAACTTTCAACTCATTGTCCTGGAAACTGAAAATTGTTTAAAGCTCAAAGAGTAGTGCTTGATTTTTGCTCCAAAGAACTTTGTCGAATGTGTTTATTAATTTTTCCACGTCTTTAATTTTTTAGTGACTAGTGACTAAAAATTGTTCTTGCAACGACTTTTTCAATCATTTTTCAATAATTTTTGAACATTATTATTTGTCTGATCTAATCAGAAACTTATTTATTATTCATTTCAAGTTTTAAATCACATTCCATAAAACGCTGCTTCAGTATTTACATCGAGTTCATTTTCTCATTATGCAAAACTCTTAAAGTAAACGATTGTGATTCAGTTCTAAATCAAGACAAAATTACATTTATTAGGACAGTTTGCGTTGGTTTTTCAGGAAATGTTTATTTCAAAAATTTTGAATTGCATTAAATAATTCCACAAGCAGAAATTGCTACACCAAGGTGATTACTTTTTTTAAGGAATGAAAAGAGTTTGGTGAAGTCTCTACAATCTCAAGACATGACAAAAGCTCTCATCAGCTTGCACAAAACTGACAAGTAAAAACTTAAAGCTTCAGTGAATTTCATCCTACACTTTGTTGAATAGAAATAATCTTGTCTTCAGTGGTCAGAAAATGAGTATTTTGGTTTTAGCTTTACTCAGAACGCGGTTTCCTATTTACTATTTGCTTAAAGTTTGTTGCAATTCTGCTTACAAGGATCCTACAACAGACTATGAGTGGTTCATATGGCAAATTAAAAATTGTCATTATAAAAATTTTGATTACGCAAAATTCTTCTCACCTATTTTAATATAAATTAAGTTTTTCACAAAATTAGGAAAAAACTAGAGTAAATAAATTTATAAATAAATAAATAAAGAACAATAACCTTATAAAAACAAAAATTGTAAATTTTGCAAATGCTAAAAAAGATGTGAATCAAGTCTGTTAAAGAAACTAAAAAAGTGCTCTGTAAATTAGCTAAACTAAACAAATTAACTAAATTTATTATTGTACTTCAAAGATTCTAAATTGCATTAAAAAGTCCACAAGCAGAAAAYTGTTACTTTTTTAAGCTCTAGAGATGAAAAGATTTTGATGTAGTTTCTACAGTGCTAAGACATGACAAAAGCTCTCATATAAAGTAGTGCAATATATACAGGCTGTTCCGTTTTTATTGTTACAAATTTAAGCAGGTGATGGAATAGTCAATTTTAAGATAAAAGCTTCCTATGAACATGTTTCGAAAAATATTAAATACATCTCCTGAAAGGGGTACATTTTTTCATGAATTTTTTCCAATATTTCAGCAATCATTGTTGATAAAATTCCAAAATTTGGTACAACTGATACCCTTTACACACCCAAACAAATTCAAAAATAAAATGTCGAAATTTTTATACTGGGGGGGTTTAGGGTAAAAGTACTATAAATAGTTTGGCTGTTGGTTCTTGCCACTTTCAGTCACACAATTTTAAATTTCATAGTTTTTCACAGAAAATAGGTTTCTTACGTTTTTTCAATACAATTTATCGTTTTTGAGTAAAATCAGTTAGCAATATGTGTTTCAGACCATAAAGAGAATAAAAATTAAAAAATAAATTCCGTTAAAGACCCCCGATCTTTAAATTTGTTGAAGTGTTTTAAGGATATCAGCTGTTCCAACTTTTGTAATTTTATCTATTCTGCAATAGTGGAAAAACCTCATTAAAAAACGAATTTTTTCAGGGGGTGTAGCTCGCTGTATAGTAAAAAGCTTAAAGCTTTGGTGCATTCCTTTCTACACTGTGTTCGATAGAAATAATCTAAATTCTTCTTGCTTTTGTGGTTAGAAAATAAGTATTTTGGTCGTAGATTTGAATCCAACTATTGCTTCATATTTATTATTTACCATTTGCTTAAAGTTAATTGAAATTCTGTGTAAATAACAAAAAATTAATAAAAATAACCCAAAATAAATAAAACAAAAACAAAGTTGCAATTCAGAAGCAAATTTTTATAGCGAATTTCAAAATTTTCTTTTTATGTTAAATTAAACTAATAGAAAATAATTAACTAGTTGATCTTTGAAACAAATTTGTCTGAGTTGTATTATTATTAATTTTTCTTTAATTTATAAGTATTTCAAATTTTAACAACCCCAGTAACAGATCTTAACAGACAATTGTTTCAATTTTTTAAACGAAACTTTTGTTGTAAGATAAATTTCCATGTTTTGGCCGCAGTTTGTCTCGAATTTGGTGTCGTTT